AATTATAAAATCTTTAGTAATATATTTTTGTTTATTACATACTTATGTTTTTCTTCATAAAATTAATTAAATTATGAAGCCGTATGTCACAGCGTAGAATGCTTTTGATACGTAACATTTTTGTTCAAAACAATTTTTTTCCGAGACTATGAGATCAATATGTTCAGATATATATGGAGAACTTAAGATACAGACTAATTTTGAAAATAATATGTTGGATGTACTAAATGTATAAACTAAATTTTATTTAAAGAGGGAAATGAAAATAAAGGCATATAAAGAAGTGTTCAAGTAACGTCCATTAGTCCACCCAACCTTGATGGGTACTTAACTTACGTTACAGAAAGTAAGGACGGTTGGGTATAGTGCTGACTACATTATCCCTTAATATGCCGAAGTAAAAAATATATGAACTCTAAATCATCTGCCCAATAGATCGTTAGGTCTAAAGATAAATCTTTAATTTGATATATTTTTAAAATATTTTAAAATACCTCAAAAATAAAATATACATTTGTGTTAAGGTTTTATTTCCGGTTTAGGTTAAATTTCCAGTTCAGGTTAAAATGCCGGATCCGAATATATGTGGTTATATTTCTTTCGTAATAAAGTTCAAATTTCGGTTAAAATTTCCGTTTCCAGTTCACTTACCCTTGCCTGTTAAGCTTCGTCTCCATTAAAACTTCCGCTTCTAGATAAAACGTCCGTTTCCAGATAATTTCGTGTCCGGATAAATTTCGGTTTCTGCTATTAAATTTTGAACTCAGTTGAAATACCATTTCCGGCTAAGTTTTTATTTTAAAAAATAAGGTTAATGTTCAGATTTCGGTTAGATATCCGGTTCCGGATAAAGTTCAGTATCCGGTAAAATGTCATTTCCGGTTAAATTTTGATTTCAGATGGATTTCCAGTTTCAGTTCAGAAGTTTAGATTTAGGTTCATGTGTAGATATTTATTTGATTTAGAGAAAACAAAAATAACTTGATACTTTGTTTTTTCTTTACTTTATCACAAGTATCTTTTAACGTGTAGTAATGCAGATTATGTTTTGACTAATTACTATTATAAAATATATTTCTGAAACAAGTAAAGATTTTTAAAAAATATTATGTCATTATCTTTTCCCGTTTGTGCCAAAGACACATACGGCAGATGAAATGTATTTAATTTATATGTTTATTTTTAGGATTCAGGTTGAGATGAAGATTAGGGTTAGGGTTATGTTGACGTTTCTGTTCCAGTTCCTGTTCAATGTTCGCGGTTGTGAATGTGGTTGTTGGTTTTTTAGTGTTTGGTAAGGGTAAGGTTTAGATTTAGGTTTAAATCTATGCATATTTCTCAGAATTTCAGCTTCTAATATATAGACTACAGTTAGAAATAAATTTGTTATTTTTTTAAAAGCAATATATATATATATATATATATATATATATATATATATATATATATATATATATATATATATATATATATATATATATATGTATATATATATATATATATATATATATATATATATATATATATATATATATATATATATATATATATATATATATATATGAAATGAATGTAAAAACGGCTTAGCGCTTCTTGTATGGATTAGGTATGAGCGATGAGTTCAAGGTCAGGAGAAATATGACATCTGCTAAAGCGCCTTTGATGTATGGCAGAATTGCGCATGTTCCGCCAGGAAGAGAACCATGGCCCAAGAACGTGAACAAGCCGGCGATGACGTCAGTCACTAAAGAAATAAAAGCTGAATGGAACCACACTGGTAAACAAGGTTGCAAAACGTCGTCATAACAAATATGGCTCCCAGGGAATTCTGGGAAGATAAATCAAAGTCTTGATGCTAACCAGCACCAGAATATGACAATGGGGAACACAAAAGGTGAAAGAGAAGTGAATAAAAAATAGATACGAAAAAAGTCGCAGAAATCTCCTCACGGAATCAAAAACAATGTTGAAAGGAAATACGGGAAGATTTTTGCTATAGAACAAAGGATCTCAGCGATAGAAGTAAGGACCGCAAACTGTAGTACAAAGGCGGAGGACGGACACTGTCAGAGACAGAGTAGATAAATCAAAGGGACAAGTAAAATGTATGTTAAGTTGGTAAAAGAAACAGATGGGGAACGATCTCCGTGTGCTTTTTATGGGAACCCGATGTAGGGACATGGGAGTTTGGTGAAAACGTGTCAACTTAATCATTTAAACAAGGGATCTGCAACTATTTTGAAAAATCAAAAGAATCCACACAAAAAAAAACCAACAACAAATATATACAGAAATAAAACACAAAACAAATGTTATCCTTCCATTGTCTTCATTTGTTTCTTAGCAACACTCTTTTAACTGCGAGCAGTGAGCCGCATGTGTTTAATAATAGTGCCGCGTGCACATCTGGTGGGGTAAGATGCCGGTCCTGATTTAGATAATATATTTTAAAGGACGATTATATAAAGGAAATAGCCGACCCCTGATTTGGACGATAATATAAAGGAAATAGCCGACCCCTGATTTGGACGATAATATAAAGGAAATAGACGACCCCTGATTTGGACGATAATATAAAGGAAATAGCCGACCCCCTGATTTGGACGATAATTTAAAGGAAATAGCCGACCCTTGATTTGGACGATAATTTAAAAGAAATAGCCGACCCCTGATTTGGACGATAATTTAAAGGAAATAGCCGACCCCTGATTTGTACGATAATTAAAAGGAAATAGCCGACCCCTGATTTGGACAATAATTTAAAGGAAATAGCCGACCCCTGATTTGGACGATAATTTAAAGGAAATAGCCGAACCCTGATTTGGACGATAATATAAAGGAAATAGCCGACCCCCTGATTTGGACGATAATTTAAAGGAAATAGCCGACCCTTGATTTGGACGATAATTTAAAAGAAATAGCCGACCCCTGATTTGGACGATAATTTAAAGGAAATAGCCGACCCCTGATTTGGACAATAATTTAAAGGAAATAGCCGACCCCTGATTTGGACGATAATTTAAAGGAAATAGCCGAACCCTGATTTGGACGATAATTTAAAGGAAATAGACGACCCCCTGATTTGGACGATTTTGTAAAAAAAAATAAAAATAGGCGAACCCTGATTTGAGACGATATTTTGAAGAAGTTAGCAGGCCCCTAACTGAGATGATAATATTAATATATTTTTAGAGCAGGTGAAATTCGCTTACAATTTTTTTTCAGCAGTAATAATTTATATTTCTGCAAGATGTGGAAAATTGGAGCTGAATTAGCACCGAAAATAGAAATAATTAAAACCCAGAATAACTTGGCTAATCAGTGAAGGTAGAGTGTGGAATTAACTAAAGCCATGGTGGGGTAGGGCAATATTTTTGTAATCACGCAGAATCTCGGGCATTCTGGCAAGGGAAGGTGCTTTGTACCAGAGTAAAGAACAGAAATCTAGTTGTTGAGTGCGCATGATTAACGGATGCCTCTGTCCTTGTTTAGAGTCGATAGCTGATTCAAATCAATGGTGGAGAAAAAATGAACACTAGAAGTATGTAAGGACCAGTGTTTCTTCCAGACTTTTTTCTCCGGGGGGGGGGGGGGGGGGGGAGGGCACTTGAAATTTTCGGTGGGACGGACTAAAATTTCCGGGGGAGTGGGGGGAAGGGGGCGGACAATGTTAAAAGTATATATTTTCTATATAAATTCCATTTCGTTCGGGGGGGGGGGGGCGGTAGACTTTATTCGGAGGGGGGGGGGGGGGGGTGCCTGGAAGAAACTCTGGTACGGACGGCGTTGTGGGGAGGGGGTGTAGACTTTGGGTGGTGAAAAGATGCATGGAAGAAACTCTGCAAGCTACTGATCGGTTTTTCAGCAAATATTTTTGTCGTGTGCGGTGTCGACTTAACGAAGAGCAAACTGAACGGAAAAAATAACTACTACTAATAATTGATTTAAAAAACTAAAATATCGACTTTTAACTTTAATTACTGAATCTAAAAAGTAGAAAATAAAAAACAAAAATAATTTTCGATGCACTGAAATAAGAAAGTAAAGGCAAGCAAAGTAAAATAAACTTTCCTTTTTTGTTAGTTAAGTGATATGCGGCGGGGCAGCAAGTGAAGTAGGCTTCCTGGGGTCTGGAGGTGGGTGGATTCAGTGACGTTCAAATATTTAGTAAATTAAATAAAAGGCTAAAAAACGTTTGTCACTCAAGCAGAGTTTCTTCCAGGCATCTCTTCGGGGGGGGGGCAGCCCCCCCCCGAAATTTTTTTACCCCCCTCCCCCCCGAACAAAATGAAAATTATATAATTTATATAGAAAATATATACTTTTACCAGTGTCCGCCCCCCCCCCCCCCCCCCCCCCCGAAGAAAGTCTACCGCCCCCCCGAAAATTTCAAGTGCCCCCCCCCCCCGGAGAAAAAAGTCTGGAAGAAACACTGCACTCAAGGCTTCACTAGCACTTTTTGTGATTTGCGACTTTACCTTATAGACCAACGCTTTGATTTTTTTGTTTTATTCTCTTAAGTGCATTTAAAGATTGTTTTCATATTCGTTTATGGTATTGGCTGATTATGTTGTTTTTTAAAACTTTGGATTGTTCTCTGCAACTTTGAGTTGATGCTAAATAAAATGGAAGAGAAAAAAATTGTCACGTGACTCAGTGAATTCTGCTCACGAAAGTATATATAAAAGTCAAATGGTTTTATGAAAAAGAAAAGATGCTAAAAAACAAATAAAAAGATGCGGTTAGTTTAAATGATGAATTTTAATAAATAACACAGAAATATTTATCCTAAATAAATTGCAATAGGCTACATAGATCTATTAACTCACTGCAATGTGACTGCAATAAATGAAAGAAATAAAATACTGTTTTTAATCTATACAAAAAGCACAAATTAACAATTGATTCGTTTCTATTAAACTGTAATTACAAAATTTTAGCTGCTAAACACAACAATCACAAGGGAAAGTACTCACAAAAATTTGATACAATCTAGATTCCAGATCTAGAAACACCTTACTCATTGTAGATCCACAATCCTAGATTTTTGTAGACTAGTCACTTGTCTTATCTCTAAATCTTAGATAATTCTTAGTCACAGGAACCTTAAATAAAATTAATATTAAAAAAATAAGATTACTAAAGTTTGTTGTGTTAAGATATTACTTTAATCTAGATTCTAGAACTACTAACGTAAAGAAGTAACTAGATCTAGATCTAGAAATTGAATCTAGGCTAGATCAGACTAGATTTCACTAGATCTAGATTTCTAGATTCTAGATTAGAACTTATATTATAATAGTCTAATTATCACTAGATAGATTATTGAAGTTTGCCCTAGTTACTAGATCTAGTTGATTAATTATAATAATTAAGTAGAGCTAGATCTATTAGCAGATTCATAGTGTCCAAGAAGAACCCTAGCCATAGGGCCCTGCCTGGCCCAAGAGTGCCCTAGACCCTACTCGTTTTTTAGATCTCTATTCTAGATGCTCTTGTTGTGGGAAATTTTAATAAAGACTAGGCCTAAAGAAGCAAAGTTCCCCTTTATTAGTATAATTCATACTCTATATAGGGTAAAGCAGAGCATTAAGAGCCGTGTGGTATTAGGCCCCAATCAACACCCCACTGCTATTATGGCAGTAGTTGTGCAATTTTTTATGCTAATTTTACCAGAGTAGCTGATCATAATCTCATCAAAATAGATTTATGCACCAAAGACATTTCAAAGCATTTACTCAGAGGTATTCTGTTACTGTACAAATCCTGCAGACGTTTAGCAGAAGTCTGCACAACTCTGTAAAAATTGGTCAAAATGGCTCCACACATGCTATCATGGAACACAGGCCAATTACCTTGTTGTCATTAGGATATGCTCTAAAGAGGTTTGCCTACAGGATGGCTGGTGTTAAAGTCACGCTAGAGACTCTAAACTTTAACAATTTGGCACTACAGCGTTTGCCTGTAGATCCCTATGTTAGTGACACACAGCGAGAGGTGAGCATTGAAGTCTAAAAGTTGTTAAAAACTAAAAGTACAGTTGTGATGTCTTGAGTTAGATGGCATTCTCGTTGTGCCTACATTCTTTAAATATTTTATGCTTGTGTTCAATAATTTCTAAATTACTTCAAGTTATTTTTCAATCTATATTTACAAATTTTACAAAAACAAAACCACCAGAAACAACCTTAGGTTTATTATTTTACTGTTAAGGACCTTTTTAATACTAATAATTTCTATACTATTTCTATAAATTTGATGCTTAAATATACATCAACTTTTTATTTAATATTATCCTTAGGTAGTTGGGGCTTGTTTTGCAAGAATCAGCCCCACACCTGTGAAACAGCCAGCCCTTGTGTGTGTTTCACTTCCTGCGCTGAAACTGCTGGACATTGAAGAAGATCAGACCAAGCGACCTGAGTTTTTGGAATACTTCAGTGGCAATAAGATCCTGCCAGGATCTGAAACAGCAGCTCACTGTTACTGTGGCCACCAGTTTGGGTATTTCTCTGGGCAGCTTGGTGATGGGGCAGCCATGTAAGTTGGGTGAAGGGGGAGCCGTGTTAGTTTGGTGAAGGGGAGCCGTGTTAGTTTGGTGAAGGGGAGCCGTGTTAGTTTGGTGAAGGGGAGCCGTGTTAGTTTGGTGAAGGGGAGCCGTGTTAGTTTGGTGAAGGGGAGCCGTGTTAGTTTGGTGAAGGGGAGCCGTGTTAGTTTGGTGAAGGGGAGCCGTGTTAGTTTGGTGAAGGGGAGCCATGTTAGTTTGGTGAAGGGGGAGCCGTGTTAGTTTCAGGATCATAAATAAATAAAATGTTCAAAGTAAAAATTGTATCATATCTATTTTTAATTATTTTAAATTAATTTTTGAACAACATTGATCTGTTTTTGATTTTCATATGAGTTTTTAAATGTAAGCTTTATTTAAAATTGTTTCTTATTCTAAAGTTATCTTGGTGAAATTGTCAACCAAGAAGGTGAGCGCTGGGAAGTTCAGCTGAAAGGTGCCGGCAAAACTCCATTTTCCCGCGGGTCTGATGGAAGGAAAGTGCTGAGAAGTTCCATCAGGGAGTTTCTGTGTAGTGAAGTAAATAATTTTTCATCTGTTTGCTGGTAGTTGAGGCTATTTTTCTCCATACTTAGCCAACACCAAGCAATGTATCTGTGATGTCAGGCCATGTGTGTGTGATATTTGCTATGTTTCACTGTTAGATGGCAAAGTGTAGAGGGGTTGGGAGTGCTGGCTCTGTTACTGAAGTATCTGTCTAGATATAGTTTTATTTTAATCATTGGCGTTGCTATAACACTGTCTCTATTGATGCCCGGCAATGTGTCTATGATACTTTGAAGTGTAAGTGGCACATTGGTTAGTTTTCCACATAGTAGTTTACATTTTAACCTAGACATAATAAATGTATTTACAAGATTACCGTGGTTACATTTACTCTGTTTCTACTAAAATTTTTTAGAAACTGATAAATATTTAAAGTTTCTAAACAAAATTCTGTCTAAAGGCTATGTACCATTTGGGAGTGCCCACCACCCGGGCTGGGTCATGCATCACATCAGAGACTAGAGTCATTCGGGATATTTTTTATGATGGCAACGCAATTTCTGAGAAGTGCACCTTGGTTTTGAGAATCTCGCCTACTTTTCTAAGGTGAGTTTTTTTTTTGTAGGCAATGTGTAATTTTTTTTGGCAATGTTGAGGCCAAACTTGTAAAACTGAAAGCTAATTTCATTGGTTTATATTTAAGCTGGAAGTTATTTTATTTGAGTTATTGATTTACTCTGCATTCACATATTTAAAAAATAATTAATGTCTGGTAATGTTGATTATCATATATTTTATTTATTTATCATGAAATTTAAAAAAAATGTCTGTTTTAACTCTAGCGTCAACACAAGTTTTAGGTAATAAAATTGAAATGTTCTCAGATTTGGGTCATTTGAGATCTTCAAGTCAAGAGACCTGGACACAGGAAGATCAGGTCCCAGTGTTGGTCAAACTGACCTTTTGATCAAGCTGTTACAGTACACCATTGAGACCTTTTATCCTCAGGTCAGTTGGCCTTTTTTTCACTTCACTCTTTTGTCCAATTATGTTTTAACATTATGGTCCTTAAGATTGATTTAAAATTTCTAAGTTTTTTAGTCCACAAATTTTAAAAGTTTGAAACTTTTAGTTAACAAATTTATTTAAAATCTTCTTACCTACCAGTGTTTTTAAGAATAAGAAAACTGGGTACTTCCCAGTTGTAGAGGTACCAGACATCCAATATGTCACTCGGCATTCATATCTCTTCATTAGTATTTGTGTTAGAGTAAGAATTAGCCTGCTGGAGGGGTGTTCATATTGCTATAAAGCAATGTTTAATTTAACTGAAAATGAAGATGCACTGAATATTAAAACAACTGGTGGCTAGAAGTCAGTTTTTATTATAGTTTTAGCAGTTTGTGAGTAGAGTGAGTACCTTTTCTATCTCACCCTTAAAAAACACCAAGATCAGCTCAAGTATTTATTAAAATTTTTATTCACGATACATTAAACTTGGTTTCAGGTTACTTTTTGAAAAACACTGTTTTATTTCTTATGTCAGATAATAGCCTATATAAAATAAATACAATTTCGTCTAATATAAAATACCCTATTTACTTGTGTCCCTCCCATCCTACATCACAAGCCTACCATCCAGCACACCTGTAGCTGCATGTTTTTATAAAATTAAGAACTGTTTCCCCCTCTCAGATCTGGAGCCGCTACTTCAGTGACCCAGAGAAAATGTACCTGAAGTTCTATCAAGAGGTTGTCAGAAGGACAGCCAGGCTTGTGGCACACTGGCAGTGTATTGGCTGGTGTCATGGGTAATCTTTTTTGCTCATTTTTTTATATAGTTTTGTTTGTATAACTGTCCATTGTAAGAACTTTGTTTTTAATAGTTTTGTTTGTATAACTGACCATTCTATTAACTCTGTTTATAATAGTTTTGTTTGTATACCTGTCCATTGTATTAACTCTGTTTTTAATAGTTTTGTTTGTATAAGTATCTATTTTATTTACTTTGCTTTTGATTGCTTTGTTTGTATAAGTATCCATTTTATATTCTCTGTTTTTAATAATTTTGACCAGTGTCCTGAACACGGATAACTTGAGTATTGTGGGGGTGACCATTGACTATGGACCATTTGGTTTCATGGACAGATACAACCCAGATTTTGTATGCAATTCTTCAGGTAGGTTTAGAAAAGTTTTTTGTGTGTTGATCGGGCAAGTTGAGTCAGTGTTTGTCCTGGATAGTTTTTTGCCAAGATATTTGACCATGTTTACTGGTCTTATTCAGATGACGCAGGTCGCTACTCCTACAGACAACAGCCGGAGATGTGCAAGTGGAATTGTTTGAAGCTGGCTGAAGCCATCCAAGATGTGGTCCCCCTCTCCAAGACAAAAGATTATCATCATTTATTTGATGAGGAATTCCAGAGATTTTATAATTCCTTGATGAGGAAGAAGGTACATTTTTTGTCTTAAACATTTGTTTGCATTATGTAATGTTCTAATATTTTTTTGTGTTACTTAATGTTCAAATATTTTTTTATGATACTTAATGTTCAGATATTTAGTTTTTTGTAACTGCAATAACAATTTATAAATATTTTCTTTCAAGTTTGGACTAAAAAAAGAAAAGCCTGAAGATAGGTATGTCAAGTAGTCATCCACTGTTTTGTTGAGTATCTTTGATTACAATTTGGTTGTGTATCTTTAATTGATTACAATTCAGTTGGGTATCTTTAATTAATTACAATTTGGTTGGGAATCTTTAATTGATTGCAATTCAGGAATAAAAAAAGCTGTAATATAAATTTAGCTTAATTACTATTTAGCAATACATAAAATGGCAAATTATTTAAGCTTGACAATTCTATGAATTTGTTTTTTTTTTTCATTTTCAAAGAAAGCTAAGCTGTATAAATAGATTTCCTGCAACTAATTTGTTTTTTCTTTTTATTTTCTTTTAGTTTACTTTTTGACGAGTTTTTAGTAACCTTACAGAAAACTGGAGCAGACTTCACAAACTGTTTTCGCTGTTTGAGTAATTTCCCTTTGCCGAACTCCCCAGATTTTGAAGAAAGGAAATTGGAGACTTTAAACCAACTTCTCTCACAGAGTAGTACTTTAGCTGAGTTGAGAGAAATAAACAAACCACCACCTCCCAATAGGTGGGTATGGAACCTAAGGCTTAGTAAGGTTTCGTATAGGAAATATAGAATTTTTTTTTTGTATTATAATTACATTTTTCCATGAAGTTGTTTGTTCTGACAAAGAGCCCATGTGTTCCTCTAGTCAGCTGAGTCTGCTGATGTTGATGATACAGAACAAACCCCACCTGGTACCCATAGTCAAGCTAAGAATGCCAGGTCTGGAGGCAGAGTACAAGAAAGAGGCAATCCTGCAATCTTTGCAGGTAAAACATGATCAGTCTGTTTTTATTTACATTTGGCTTAGTAACGTATGAACCAACAATGCATCTTTTGTCATTAGAGAAGTCTTTGTTAAAGTTGTGAAGAACAAGCATAAGTAGAATAAAGTAGCATTACTGCTTTAAGATTTCATTACTAGAATTATTTTTGACTCTTCACCCAAAAAGGTTGCTATTCCTGTACTTTAAGCAGAATAATTTAAACACGCTAGCAATTGAAGTATTACCAATAGTTTGCTGTTAAAGTTACACAAATTTTAACGATTAAGTCAACTGAGGGAAACTTTTTGTTAACTATATTTTCAAGATTGTCAGAAAACAAACATGTAATTTTTATTCCTGCCAGTCACACTTAGTCATTTAAAAAAAACAAATGTCTGAAGTTCGTTAAAAGCTGATTGCAGATTTTTGTCATTGTTTAGAACACAACAGAAGAAGAGTTGACTGAGGCAAACAGAGGTGCCTGGCTGGCCTGGATGGAGACATACACACAGCGTCTGCTGTTTGAGGAAAGTGATGTTGCTGATGTGGTGATGCTAGGGGAGGAGCGGAGGCAAATGATGGACTCTGTTAATCCAAGGTGATACATTAAGTCAATCCAAGGTGATGCATTAAGTCACATGAAGGTGATACATTAAGTCACACCAAGGTGATACCCTAAGTCACACCAAGGTGATACATTAATTCAATCCAAGGTGATACCTTAAGTCAGTCCAAGGTGATACATTGTCAAGTCAATCCAAGGTGATATAGTGTCAAGTCAATCCAAGGTGATACATTGTCAAGTCAATCCAAGATGTATCATTGTCAAGTCACCCCAAGGTGATACCTTAAGTCAGTTCAAGGTGATGCATTAAGTCACACCAAGGTGATACATAAAGTCACCCCAAGGTGATACATTAAGTCACACCAAGGTGATGCATTAAGTCACACCAAGGTGATACATAAAGTCACCCCAAGGTGATACATTAAGTCACACCAAGGTGATACACTAAGTCACACCAAGGTGATACACTAAGTCACACTAAGGTGATACACTAAGTCACACCAAGGTGATACACTAAGTCACACCAAGGTGATACCCTAAGTCACACCAAGGTGATACATTAATTCAATCCAAGGTGATACACTAAGTCACACCAAGGTGATACATCAAGGCAATCAAGGTGATACATAAAGTAAGCCCAAGGTGATACAGACTTTGGGATCAGATTGCCGGTCAGATGTCTTATGTCCATGCCTGAAATGGTTGTTTAGCCAGTAAAATACCTGCATCTTTATGGGCCTTAGCAAACTGATTTCAGAACTCAAAAAGCAACTGTCTTTTTTTTCTTATGGGTGGAGATTTAAGAAAATGTAGTTTGTTTCCTAGGGTATTTCCAATATCTGTACTGCCTAATTAAATAAAGTTTAGAAACTTCAAAACTGAATTTTTTGGGTTTTCCCCCAGGGACTCTATTGCAAAATTCTGAACTGCCAGGTTGAGAAAGGTTTATGGACATTCTTAAAATTTGTTTCAGGTTTATACTCAGGAACTATGTCGCTCAAAGGGCAATAGATGCAGCTGAGAAGGGAGACTACTCTGAAGTCCAGAAGGTTCTCAAACAGCTTGAGTCTCCATACACGGATGTCAGCCTAGTGGATGAGCTGGATACATCATCCAGCGTGGATCATGAGATGGGTGGAGACCATGTGACAGCCAGTATAACGGGAGCAAGGTGCCTTGCCTCGTACTTAACCAAACCACCAGCCTGGGCCTCTGAGATCAGAGTGAGCTGATCCTCGTAGGGTGGTCACTGGTCAAAGGCTCGTTAGATCTAATGCCAGCCTGCTCCAGATGACTCGCCATGTTTGACCCTGTAACCGTCTTGCTCTCTGGGGGGGCACAAGAAAATCTGGGATGCTATAATTTATCTACCCTGATATTTTTTTGTGTTAAATTTATTGTGATAGTTATCCTGAATAGTCTTGTGGCTTTCTCCCATTGAGTGAGATGTTTGATGGCTAGGTGGAAAGCTCATTCCCAGCTCACCTAAGCTTGATGGGGTACAGTGGTTTAAACACAAAAGCTCTGTTGATACAGAACATATCTTGTTATATCATAGCCCAACATCAACCTTTTTGTTTATATAGACCATAAAAATGGTGGTGGGCAAAATGTAAATCCATATAATTTTTTTATTTTTACTAATTTTTGTTCATACTGAAACCATATTTGACAATGCTGTTGCATTACTAATTACATGTATGGATTTTTTTTGCTTAAAATATATTGATTTTTAAAAAATATACCCATTATCTTATTTGATATTAAATCATGCTCACTGATTATTATATCAGTATAATCAGAATTTTCTAGCATGTTGAAAATATAACTTGTGAAATGTTAATTGGGATAAATTTACTTTTCTTATTAAAAAATATGATTTTGTATTGGTATATAGTATACACCTGGATAATAGCTACCTGTTGATTGGGTTAGCTTAGTTATCTTTAAAAATGTGGTTCTGATGGTGAGCAATTTTTTCTAGTAAACTTTGTGTTGTTTTGGTGAAAACATTCAAAATTAGTTATGTACAAGAATCTCACTTTTCACCCATATATTGATGGGGCTCTATTAAAATTAAATAAGTGTACACTTGTTATGTTTAAAAGTTTCTGAAATGTTCACTCAAGTTATATATATAACAAACTGTGAAGTATTGAAAGTCTGTGATGCATAAACGCATATTAAAATGTTAAAGTTGTGAGTGTGATTTTTTTTTTTTTAAAATTAAATAGACAAGCAAGGACACCACTTGTTGAAATAAATGTTAAATTTATTATAAGATTCATTTCTAAAGACAAGCATGTCATCCTAGGCAGAAAGTAACTTGACAATTAGAGCAATAAAACATCAGGACATTAGTGAGCAATTTAATTTATACAGCAACAAAAAGAACAAATTGCATTTACACAAAAATAGTTAAAAGGACATTGTTTAAAAATAATGAACAAATATTCCGCTAGTGACTGGTGTTCTGGTATAAATATTTTTATGGTGGTCCAGCTTAAAAACATTTATTACGGACAAGTAACCTGCTTAAATTAAATGCCAGTGTCGCTGGTGACCTCAACAGGTGGTGCCAAATATTTGACTAAATTCTTGGTATAAAAAAATAATAGCCACATACAATTCGAGACAAAAAAAATAAATAAGGCAAGATTGTTTATTATGACAATATCATTACATAAAAACAAGCATACCTGCCTCAGTGAAAGATGAACTGCACTTGTAAGGTGTGGCCAGGGTTTTAAATACTACAGCACATTTCAAGTTTCCATGTAATAAAATGGTTGCTAGCAGTGACAAAATCAAACTTGGAATGTTCAAATATTAGACTGGAAATGGTATAAGGTAGAAACTAAACTGTAAAGAGTGGAATTATTTTTCTTATCACTTCATAGACAAGTTGCACATCACATTTAACAAGGGACACAACTGCAACAATTGCTTCTCTCCTCTACCAATTCTTAGTGCCCATTTAAACAAATTTTATATAACAGCAACACAGTTTAAACCCACATAAATATATGATTATGATAGAAAAAAGCTTTACTAATCTAAAGCATGTGTATAAATATTTATATATATGTAGACAACAAAAAAAAACCTTGAAAGACAAGGAATAGACCCTGCCTTTGTTTAGGTTTTTAAACTTTCATTTTCCCTAAAAAAGTCAACACAAATGGTCAAAGACATTGATAATGCAGTAAGTAGTTCACATTGAGAAAGTCACAGAAGAGAAGTTAACATTTAAAGGTCAACATTATATATAATCTGTTTAAAATAATTATGTATAGTATTTACTCTTTTGGCCAAATAAGAAATAAAAAAGGCTTATGTACATGTAAATATTAAAGACAAACTTCAATTCTCGTACATTTTGGGTGTATTCTTATATATTAAATGCTTTTTATTGTGAGAATGAACATTTTAAAAATAGCAACTGAAAAAAGAATTGTCATGTATTAAAGCATGATGCAGGATTCTTCACTAAGTATTTAAAAAAAAACCCTAGTTTTTAGAGCATGACTTTTTAAATGGGTATTATTTCAAGACCAAATTTTAAAAAAGTAAAAAAAAAAGTATGAAACTGCATGATTTGCCAGGTAAATTTAAAACTGAACTGGTCAAAAATGAGCATGAGGGTAAAAGAAATTGTATAGCAGTGCATGAACTAAGGTCCTGTACTAGGAAAGACACAAGATGCATACCTCAGTAAAAGATCAACAGTTAACAAGGAACTCAGGCCCACACTATTGCTCATCTTTAGCAGCGATAAAAACAGAAATTTGTGCCAAGTCTATTAGTCAGGAGAGAAAGTCAAGTCAAATTAGGATCAAAGAGCACATGACAATAGAGTTAGGCACTGGTGTTATTATAACTCACTGAAACAACACAGGTCTTCACTTCAACTCGGTTGGGAAGTATCAGCTTTTGTGTCTTTAACACAAGCAGGATTTACCAGAATGTGAGACCAACTTAATACTATAGAAATGGCAATGTTTCAAAGTGAAGCCAGTCATTAGGTATGACAGTCATTGACGAGCCTATTAACCAGAGAACAGTGCCAGATCAACCCACCTGTGACCAGGTGCCACAATATCAAGCTTACGACTAAGCTGAAAGAAGTTTAATTATGTCAATAACACATACATCTACTTTTAAAACCTTTCTGTAATTTCATTTATGTTCATAATGTTAAGGTTCTATTATTAACAGTTAATAAATCAAATCTTTCCTTTTTTTTAAAGGCAAATATGGGAACTTTAAAACAATTTGTTGGATATAGTTTAGACTTGAATAAGCTGAAAACAGACTTCTATTAACAATAATTTTGGGATGATGAAGATGGTTAAAATCTTGTATAAAAACATGGGTAGAGTTTGCAGCCATACACAAATTATTCCAATAAACTTTTGATTGTTTTATCATACAAATCATCAGATATCTCTTCCATCCACATTATAGATAAAAACTCTAAAGGAAGACTGGAATATAAAAGCTATAATCATTCATACCTTCAAATAAACAGAATATGGAACAAATTACATTGCATGATGAAGATTTTTCACTTCAATTAAAAACAAAACCCACCTACAATTCATAGCTAATTATTTTTTTTAGTTACAATTAATTATTATAATCTAATACTTCTCTATGCTTCTGTTAAGACATTAAGTCAGCCACTAGAGGCCAATAACTGCAGCAGGACTAGAATCTCTTGAGCGTTACATGTTTCTAAAAACTTTCAACTTCATTTAGTCCTAACGAGAGTCAACCTAACCTTTTACTTAAAAAAATATATAAATGAAATGGAACTCTCATAAAGAAAAACTAAATCTTATAAAATAAAATGGCCAGATTATTCAGAGATGTAAAACCAATTATATTTACTAAACATTACTAGCATTCAGTCTAAAACAATCTGGGGTTAGATAAAATCTGTGAATTACAACACTATACCAAAGTTAAAACATTTACACCTCATCTTTCTATTATGCCTGTGTTGATTACTTGATCTAGTTAGATAATATCAGTAGAATAAAAACTGTCCCTCTTAGATCCCAGGGCACTGTGCATCACGTACACCTACAGCTCATATCCAAACCATCCACCAAGTCTGTACCAGGCTGGGCTAACAGCACACTAAAGATCCCATTCATGAAAAACTCAAGTGATTAAAGTTTCTAAAACTATTCCATAAAGTCAGTGTCAAGCTGGTAAAGATCCCCATGAAACTTGTCCCTAAAAATCGTCAAGCTGCGCATTTTTCAACGATGTGATGATATATTTGGTTACTGCAGCAGCCGCTAGTGCAGCATACGGCTGCCATTCCTTATTTCTTGTTCCATCTACATAGTCGGCAAGTCCTCGGATGAAGATAAAACTATCCTTACGGTTACCTACAATACTATCCAGCACCTGAAACAACAATGTACATGGTTAAGCTTGAAGCTATGCTATACATTTACATTAAAGTATGGGACTATTTACTTCCCACAGATATCACTGCTTAACTATATGGCTGGCATTAAAAAGAATAAATAAAACAAAAGCTAATTGTCTAATTGGCTTTATCTACAAAATATTTTGTTATGACAACAGGGACTGTTTTTGTGTTTATAAAAATTATGAATGATTTGAATAAAAGGAAAACAATGAGTTATGTTTTAGCAAAATTTTAGGGTTAATGTTTTATGACTGTATATCCTTTTAAATCAGTAGCAGTGAGAGTTTAGAAAGCCTGAGGTACCTGATCAAAGTCAGTGTCAAAAGATTGAATGCCATATCTGGAGGCGAAGTCGTGTCGAGACATCTCCTGCTTGACAGGCCTGCCTGCACCAAGCACCCCAAACCTGATGGTGGGTAAGTTTGTTAGCTCCTCCACGCCGTCAGGATTCTCTGGGTGCTGAACTTCAATCACCTGATGGGATATTAAAAGGCAACTTTGTTATACTGAAATTACTTTTAACACTTTGCGACGATGGGTGAGTTAAAATATGATGGAAAAACATCACTTACGTCTTTTAAAATTAAAATATATTGTTTATTTTCTAAGCAAACTTTAAACCCATATATCATTTTAATATATCATTAACTTTCTATGCAAACCTGACGCTTATGTCAAAAAATGGAATAAAACACTTCTGCAGTTCTTGATATATTTTACTATCACTGACATTTGTTTATTACTAAAGAACAACAATGAGCAACATGAACCATACCTGACCCTCTCCAATGCCCATATATAACCTATCATTTGTTCGTGGTGGACGAGTGTAGTCTTGTTCTTGTGATGCCAGTAACTCCTGACCCTCTTCAATATAATGCTGCCATGGGGCAAATGATGGGTCTAGCTGTAGAACTTCCTTCAGCTTCTCTGCCATCCTTTGTAGCTCCAGATCTCTTGGTGACCATGTCTTTAACTGGTACTGAATCTGATAATTCAAACAAGATTAAATAGTGATTAGACAGAAATTCATTTACATCACACACAAAAAATACTCCAACTAATTTTAAACAAATTTAGTCTACACATATTTTAAAATGCCAAATTCATCATCCTTTCCCATTTACAAAGACACATGATCAGATGAAGTAGAGTGCATCTGTTTCAGTGACTTCAGCATACATGGGGATAGTTTGGTCAGTACTATGCCCAGGTGCCTTAGCTTCCATAAAATCAGGTACCCATCAGAGCTGGATGGACTCGAGCCCAGAACCCAAGTCTTTTGGGTTAGCAGTAGTAAGCTCTACTGTCCAACCACACCACCCGCCTAATATTTAACTCTTAACAGAGCAACTAACAGATTTGAGCAAGAACTAATGCAATAAATAAAATCAATAGAAAGAAGAAACAAGTATTTGTACAGTAACTTGAAAATAAAATAATTGCAGACATTCAGTACAGATTCTATTCCTATTTGATAAAAATCTTAAAGTGTTGTTTTTATATTAGGTGCAATAAAAATCTTCAACTATTAAGTTAAAAGATGTTATCTAATGGCTGGATTTATAGTTTGGGTTTATGGAACTTACATCTCCTTTCTTGTCTTGTGTGATCTTGTCACAGTAGTAATAGATGTAGCCCTTCTCATCACAGGTTGAGATGACCACATCCCCCAGTCGTCCATGCTTGTAGTAGTCTGTGAAGTGGGGCACGCTGCCAGCACAGCCCACCAGGAACACATGCTCAATGGCCTGGAAAGTACCTGGACACAGGGAACATGACGTTTCAGGTAATGGTGACTGACAGGACTTACGTAACTCACTAATTAAAATAACATAACTTTTCAGGTTATGTTGACTAACAGGACTTAAGTCACTCACTAATTAAAATAACATAACTTTTCAGGTTATGTTGACTAACAGGACTTAAGTCACTCACTAATTAAAATAATATAACTTTTCAGGTAATGTTGACTAATAGGACTAAAGTAACTCACTAATTAAAATAACATGACTTCAAGTAGTGCTAACTAACATGACTTAAGTAACTCACTAATTAAAATAACTTCAGGTAGTGTAAATAAAATGACTTGTTACAAGCAGTATTACAAGCAACATAACCAGAGAAATAACGAGGCAAAAGACATTTACCCAGCAAGCGTGTTGTGGTATTGCCTGATGAGATTTGAGCAGCCCTGAAATGACCAATGGCTGGTAACTTTGTGGTCACCACTTTGTGTTCACCAATAAAACCAGTGGTGTAGACATTGGATTCTCCTGGAAGATTGAACAATGTGCATGTCTATTAGATTAAACCATAAACATTTTCAAAATTTCTTTCAGTGATAATTTGAGACAATTTACCTTTTGAAAAGCAAAATTTTTTAGTTTATGAAAAAACCTTCTAAATGTTTCTGTATTTAAATTATAATAGCTTGTGCAAATTATTTAACATTAACATAGTTTACAACTATACTAAATTACAAAACAATTTCCTAATTTAACTACGACCAAAGCAGCATACCTTCTGTTTTATACCTAACATAGGTGGTCTTGTTCTCCATCATAGCATCAACAGCCATCTTCTCACAGTACTGGTAGGTTATGATAGCAATTGTAGGCTGGAGATTGGCTGCTAACATGGGCATTGTCTTGATCATTTGGACCTCTGAAAATATTTGAAGATTTTTTTTTAATACGGGCATTGCCTTGATCATTTGGACCTCTGAAAATATTTGAAGATTTTTTTTTAATATGGGCATTGTCTTAATCAGTTGGACCTCTGAAAAATTTTCAATTTTTTAAAACCAAAAACCTACTAATATTTAATATATATTTTACTATTGAAAAAAAAAAGCTTACATATAAAATGTGGTAGTAACTGTGGAGATGTGTAAACTAAAATAAAAGTGATTCAGGTACCTGTCTTGTCATCCAGTACTTTCCTAACAAAGCCACCATTCTCCATGGGAGAGATCAGCTCTCTAGTCTGTAGTTCTTGTAGTTGTAGGCTGACAATGGCCGCATCAGCACCAGTGATTCTACAAGAAAATATTGCCGTAGTAGGGTGGGATACACAATGTGGTGAATGTAGAACTTTTAATACAAGTAACTGGGAAATCTTTGGCAACTGATGACAGTTTTTAACATCAGATCAAATGTTATGAAAACTATTAGTACATGTAAATGTTGTCAGCATGTACATCGTGCTCATACATACCTAACTAAATCCTCCACAGATAGGACATTGGGGTAGGCAGATTCTAAAACTGTCAGCAGCTTCTCTCTTATAATTTCTTCTATTGGCCTGTCGTCCTTTTTATTGAAGCCTGCAATTTAAACAAAAATTATTTTAATAATAAAAATATCTTCAGGCTTATCAGGTAGTACAAAAGATTGAAATGAACAAACTACTAAAATAGTTGGTAATAAATTGTACAGCAGGTATCTAAATAAATAATCTATACAAATTATTTCATTATAAAATTAAAACAATTTTAGATTACTGCTTATATACAAAAAGTTAGTTTAGTTAGTAAAAAGTAACAATAATTTGCTAGTAGGACAAAAGTTGTGCCAATTATTCTGCAGCTTCCTCACAGGACATGCAAGTTCTAACAAGGATATCTATTGCACATTTTCTTGCACATTTAACTGGTATATAAATGTGATTTCTCTGCTATATAAATGTGATATACCACTGAAGTATAATTAAAAACATAAAGCACCCAAGATTCTGTATATAGTTGATGTAAACCAACCGATAAATCAGCTCTGAGTGCTGAGGTAGCAGGTATAAACCAAGCATGCAGTAAGGTAACCAGTGTGTGGAGTGAGGGGGTCAGGTTACACAGGTGAAATAGCCAGACAGGATAGTTCCCCTCACACCCAGTAAGGTAACCAGTGTGTGGAGTGAGGGGGTCAGGTTACACAGGTGAAATAGCCAGACAGGATAGTTTCCCACACACCCAACTCTAATGCTTCATGTTGAAGACTGATTTACAAGCCAATTACATTAACAGTACAAACTATATGGTAATGAATCAACTAAAATTTTAATTTTAAGTAAATAAAAAAATACTTTAACTGTTTTTTCTACTTCAGTAACATTTGTAATAATATTTTATACACTTTAAATATGAAATGCATTGTTACTCAAGCTGCCTGGCCAACTACATTATTAAAATGTATAGTTTTGTACAGTGTAAAGAGAACATATAGAGTGGGAGAAAGCAGGGCACTGGTTTACCTATTCCCTCAAACATTGGTTGATATGGACCTTCAAGTTTAGGAAATGATAAAATAAAATATCATCAACAAAACTTTATTCAGATACAAGGGGTAGTTTGTGAGGTATGGATCTTTAAATTTAAGAAATGATAAAATAAAATCATCTAAACTTTTTAAGGGGGTGGTTTGTAACAACAAGGAAAACAGGTCAACAAGAGAATCACTTGGGGTAAGGTGGAGGGTGTGAGGGGGCTGACTCGAATTTCTCTTTCTCATGCAAGTAGGGCAATCCTATTTAATACAACATAAACTCACAGGATTAAATGTAGCAGAATGACAGGATGTGGTAGTTTGTTTTCTATGAAAGTTACTTGACTTACAGAATTTTCTTTTAAAAGCAGTTTTGGTTGGTAACAGCAATTAAGGATATGGGACTTGGTTTTCCCAAAATAATATTGACTGGATCTATCTAAGACATAGATGTAACTGAGAACTATCTCCCCTTTACACCACATGGGTCAATGTGAGGGGAGAGAACTCCCACTACAGCAAACATTTTTTCAAGTGCTCAGTGAGTCAGGGAAGAAAGGAAACACCCCTGAATCACTTGAGGTGACACGGCCTAGATCTACAGAAACCAAGCCTTGTTTATTTTAATTGGCTTTAGCAGGAAATGAGAAATCTTATTTCTACAAACTGTCACCACAGAAACATAAAAGACTTAACCAAAGGTTTTAGCTGTTAACCAGTGTGACATTAAATCTGTTAATGCTGACACAAACATAAAGTTTAAAACATTACTATTTGTAAACACACTTAAGTTAAAAAGATCATGCCCTCCATTTATGCTCCTAGAACCAAACAGACAACAAACTTCATGCATAACACAATATTTACTGTCACTGCTTAAAAACCCATTTGCTTGGCTAGGCAGAAATGCTGTTTAAATAGCCGTATGGCAAGACTGAAAATTAGGGTCATGTCAAATGAGTCATCACAGGCCAAACAAGTTGTACTTAACTGTATACAAGGAAATAGTTTTAGCTTTTAATGACAGTTGTGGCTAAGGAGTTGTCAACAATATATAACTTAAGAAACAGTGAAGTGCACAAAGAAGATTAACATCAGTTTCGTGTAGGTTTATATAAACTATGATATTCCCAAAGGTTTATGAAAAGAGTTTTCATTAATATACAATAGAAGAAACAGTGAAGTGCACAAAAGAGATTAACATCAGTTTCGTGTAGGTTTATATAAGATATGATATACCCAAAGGTATAGTATATGAAAAGTGTTTTCAACAATATACAATAGAAGAAACAGTGAAGTGCACAAAAAAGATTAACATCAGTTTTGTGTAATGTTTAGATAAACTATGATATACCCAAAGGTATATGAAAAGAGTTGTCAACAATATATAATATTAAGAATAGAAAAGTGCACAAAGATTAACATCAGTTTCATGTAAGTTTATATAAACTATGATATACCCAAAGGTATATGAAAAGAGTTTTCATTGATATACAAAGAAGAAACAGTGAAGTGCACAAAGAAGATTAACATCAGTTTCATGTAAGTTTATATAAACTATGATATACCCAAAGGTATATGAAAGGAGTTGTCAACAATATATAACACAAGGAACATTGAAGTGCACAAAGAAGATTAACATCAGTTTCATGTAAGTTTATATAAACTATGATATACCCAAAGGTATATGAAAGGAGTTGTCAACAATATATAACACAAGGAACATTGAAGTGCACAAAGAAGAGTAACATCAGTTAATGAAGGTTTATATAAACTATGATTTACTAGTAGGGTGGGTCTAATGAATAGAGCTGTCAAAACAAGTTAAGTTCATGCATCATTTGACTACAGGAGAAATGAACCAGTGACAGACCTGACATTTACCAAGTGAGGATAATGGGAGTGTGAACTCTGACCTTCTCTTCAAACATCAATGTGATAATAAAGTGAATGGAGACATGACTTTTCACATCTGCTCAAAAACTTATTAGAGGGGAATATTGATGCATAATAATGATAGTACCTTCAGTGTTGTTAACATCCTCCCCTAAATGTATTTAAACTTTGATCTAATAGGTTTATTCTCCCAAAAAATAAGTTGTGCTGATAAACAGAAACAAGTATTACAGTAAAATGGAACAAGTAAAGTATCAGATAACTGGTGTAGAAGAGGAGGTTAAACAAACTATTAGGCTATAGGTCTACATTGGATATAAGGAAAAAAATTGGTCACTAAAATTTCCTGAACATTAAGTAAAATTACTGTTATAGTTAAAAGTAGATTATTGTTTGAAAAAGGTCTGAGGCAGAAAGTCAACATTCAATGGGAACTGTTCAAGCTTACAATGGTAAGGTATTATGACGCAAAGAAATGCAGGCAATAAAATGCACATTCTCAGTTAGATCGTACACAAGTGAACACAATCAACATAAAGAACATTCACTAAATATTTTTAAACTTATGAAAAGGTAAAAATAAAATCTATTTGAAGCTGACTTTTAAACATTTAACAACAAAAGATCAAAAGTACAAAATTTAGGATTCAAGAAATCTAAATGCTACAGCTGAACATACTATTTTAATTTCAAATAATACCATCCATATAAACTACACACCTAGTTAAAACAGTAGGGCAGATTAAATGTGACTCTCCATGCCTAAATAGGTCACTTTGCACCTCAAGCTAGGGCCCAAGAAATGAGGTGGGGAGGGGTGGAAGAGGAAGAATGTCTAGGAACTTATATTTATGCATATATGCACACATCCTTAGTGATGAGTTTTAACAAAGTATTTCAGTCTCCTTTAAGGGCAACTAACTGTCAAGCTGGGTATGACGATGTATGATGCTAAGTATGATGCTAAATTAGAAATTTCTCAAGATTCCCATTTTGGATGTTAACAGTTAAACTATCACTGCTTAAGGATTAGTGGTCTGATTCCTACAAAGTTCTTCCATAACACTGGATGGTAGAGTAAGCAAAAGGTGCTAAGTGCCTGACATGGAGGGTCACAATTACTCCTCTAACACCACATCCAAATCTTGTTGCACAGTTCCAGACATAGCATGCCAGTCCATGCTAACTACAGAAGATGCTGAGTAAACAAACATACACCAAGACCAGGAAATCAAACACACCCAAGGTCCATGGCTAGAAGGATGCAAACAACCAATACGCTTATACAAAACTTACCCTCGCCATTCATATTTTCTATTCCTTTTAGGATGCAAAAATGGACAGAAAAAGAAATTGTAATATTTAGAAAAATAAACCATTTTTTAACTGAGCTGTTACTAACAGAAACAAAAAATTATCTGCAGAATTTATACATACAGCATACATTCATAACATTTATTTCCATTACATTACCTATAATCCAACATATTTTTAAGTGATAGAAAGTACATGTATTAAGTGCAAATAATTAAATGTTTTAACTTATCTAGGATAAAGAAGTGTTAACAGTTTGTATCTGGTGACTATTAGTTTAAGAGCCACACAGAGCTATATTCTTAGAAGTAGTATAGAATAAAATCTAAAGCATGCATATCTGATGGAAGACTAAAGAAGTAAACAAATAAACAAATAACATGTCAACTTAAAAAAATTAACTGTTCAATATAAAACTAAGATATAACAGTAACTGAAGGACAGACTGAAGGGTGAAACGAATAAATACAAATTAAATTAAATTAAGCCTACATGGTTTAATATTTTTTAAACAGGTGAAACATTTTTAAAAAAATAAATGTTCATTAGGACATGCAACATTTTAGTATTGTAAGTGGATACAAAATATAAAACATCAAGTATATATACATTTAATTAAGAAAATATCAAAATACAGTTCAAACACTACAAACTTAGTCACTTGAAAAAGTATATATGTAAATAAAATTAAGTTAATTACTGTTAATGGTGAATTCAAGGTTTGATACAGCAAGCTTTAAACAACTATAAAAATTTCAATAAAAATATGAACAAAATGTCAGTCAAATATTTTGTTCGTTCTGGTAGAGTCTCAAGCAGTGTATGCTAAACAAAAGAAACTGACTGAAAAACTCAAACAAATAATGAACAAAGGTTAATCTTGAACAAAATGTGTTCACAAGAACATAACCTGATGCAGTCTTTATCACCTACCAAACTTATCCAAAGGAATAAGGCAGTCTAGTTGTTTCATGGAGGGTAAAGAAAAACAAGAGTAAACATTGTCGGATAAAACTTCCGTACATTCAAAGTGTGGATGAGAGTCAAGTAGAATACTAATGTAACGCTTAACAGTGCTTGAAAATTAACCATTAAATAAAAAAATATACACAGCTACAAGTGTGAAATCTCTTTACAGTTATTTATGAAAAAAATCTTTAATTAGGTTCCATTCAGCTCTTAATAACGCAAGGAGATTTGTTTACTCATTTGTTTCATTCTAAAATTTGAACCTAACGCTATATCTGCATTGCAAGATTAAAGCAGTTTTCTGACCATTTTTCTTATGAATAAAATAAGAGCCAACATAATATTGAATAAACTCTAAAACTGAATGAGCACCAGAGATGTGGTTTTTACATTAACTACGAAATAAACTCAATTTTAATATCACTATGAAAAGGGTATTTGAAAAAGACCCCACCCCCCCCAAACAAATGTGGAGAGATAAAAAAAAACCCAGTACCTGGACTCATGGGTGCATCTGCTGCATCTAAATGTTCAACTTCAAGGTCAACTTTCCTAGCTTGCTTATAACGATCACTCTGCATCTGTTTCATACATTTCTTAATAAATCCTACGTAATCTGAAAACAAACACAATAACATTCAAATTACTTTCCACAAGCTTTAAAAATAATAAGAGTTTGTTCTGTAACTCTTGAATGTCCAAAGTAACAAATGCATGCTAATAGTGTCAAGCTGACCTAGACACTGTAATGCGTTACTTAATAAATCTAAGTTTATATGCAATTAATTAAAATAACAATTGACTAACATTGACTATGTCTAACAGCAATCAACAGCTTTTAAACAAAAAACTAACCTCTAGGGAAATTTTCAGGTCGAACTAATTCTTTAAAAAATTCATAAGCTGTTGTGACTTGATTGTAATAATCTGTTCCTTCAACATACCAAAACTTCAATTTCCTACTTTCCTGTTCATGACAAAAAAACGTGAATGAGAGGAATTTTCAAGTTTTATATTAGGAAAAAAATATTTCAAAAGCTGGTAACTTATATAATTAAAAAACTTAAAAATCACTTACAACGTAATGTTCATCTGTTTTCATGTCAACTAAAAAACACATAAACCCTAACTGGAGCTGTGGTTTGCCTAGATCCATTTCAGCCGCATCTGAAACAATATTACAATACAAACAAATAAACAATCTTATTGAATATTTTCAAACAGGCATCTAAAATAATAATACAGTCTTGTTTAAATTTAAAAGTTAAATAATTCAAAGATTAAATTAAAATATTAGTATGGTGATCTAAGCAAAGATAAGAAAAAAACAAGGCGCATACCTGGTCTAGCAACAACTAGACCTTGATGTTGGCCACCAGCAACATGTACAACATCCTCTGGGTTCACATACTGTTTCTTCTTTCTTTCTATTTTTATATGAGTTACTTTGCCTTTTTTTGACGGGGTCATAACCACCTCTGTAAAAAAAAATATCTAATCATGAAGTCAAAACTATACAAGTCTCACTAGATTAATAGCAATGCAACAAAATTGACCGTCACCTAAAAGTAAATGATTAACAAAACTTAGGGCTTGGCAGATTCCATATAGGACTAGAATTGACATTAAATTACGTGAACATACCTTCATCATTAGTGGCCATTCTTTAACCTTCCTGTAATTCCCTTGATTTTACTTGGCCTATGTAATAAAAGTTGAAAAATAGATTTATGATGCATCTGATTTACACTAGTTTTTCTATTCATGTCATAAACTTAACTAGTTTTGATAGAGTCTAGACTAGACTCTAGACTGTTTAGCTAAACTGCTAGTAGAGTGACTTCTGGTAGTTGCTTGCGTAAGAAAAGCGGAGTCAGGTATCACTTCTCTCAGTCTCACTCACTGTGACTGTGTCACTGCAGTCGTGGTAGTTAGGTGTAGGACTGTAGGTAGGTAGGGAGGATTACCCGTTGGTTTTAAGTTTTAGTTTTAACTTAAAAATTAAACTTTAATCTAGATCTAGAAACTTTACTTCAGTGATCAGTGTAGACTGTAGATCTATTTAGATCAAGTAACTAGATTCTATTTACTATTTATTACCCTAAAAACAAAGCACAGTTTTATTTATTGCACACGTCTTTAGTCTTTAGTTTAGTTTGTTAGTCACAGTCACAGTTCTTAATCTTCTTCTAATCTTCTTACTCGTAGTTTAGTAGTTTACTAAGTTTAGTGAAGATGAGATCCTTAGATCTAACAACAGAATTGATGACATGGATAGGAGCTTTAAGATATAACTTTTTTTACACTGAAATAAAATTAAGTGAGGCATATCATATTTTAAAACATTACCGAAATATGAAAAAATTGCTTTTACAGTTTCGATTATTTGCAGTATTTCCAAATCAACTTTCTACTTCGCCGCTTCCGGGAACTAATCCACCATGTTTGTTAGTAATACGCATGCGCAGCGTCTCCTTAAAATCTAAGAGAAAATAAAAACCGGCTAGAAAATCCTTAAAAGGACATTCATTCATTAGTTTAGTTAGGTTTAGATCTAGATACAATTTCGAAATGTATTAGATCTAGGTTCAATGACTAAGAAATTGATCTAATTGATAATTTTTCTGCAAAACCCAAATAAATTCCGTGCTAAAAGACCTATTAATCATTTTAGAAAAATCCTTGTAGCCTATGCATTATATACTAACTATATAGAGTAGACTAATTTGTATTGCCACGTGGTTTTTATAATATAGATCTATTATTTAGTATTATTATATTTCCTTCCATTTCCCCCAGTCCACTTTATCTTGACAACGCGACATAGAATCTAGATCTATATAATAATTTCGCAACGCACAACCTACTAGGCTCAACCAGTTATTTTTCGAGTAGGCCCTACGTGACTTGGGATGTTTCCATTAGTTTCCAATATTCTCATTAAGGGAGGTAACTTATTGATTTTTTTTTCGGTGGGTGAATAGAATCCAATCTTCATAACGTATTATGTTGACAGTAATAGCATATTCCAACCAAAGAATCATTAGTTATTTTTTTTGGCAATGCAGAAATAAATTGATTCAGAATGTGCTATATTTTATTATCGTAAGTAGAGAGGCACAAACCAACAGTTGTAAAAGCAATGAAATTTGAATGATGTCCCGCTCAAATCCATTCAATAGGAGTTACGCCGCTTTAGAAATAGTCTGCTCCGCAGCCCTTGTCAGTGTCAGTTAAAAATTTATTGCCCTTGAAACCTGCAGTGCAGTTCAGGTTTTAGTAGCCATGCTATTTATAGATCTAATAAATTTATACGTTAGGTGGTTGATCCACAGCGAGGATAAAACATCTTAAATCAAACTATGGGCACCCTCAATATAGGTCAAGAGAGGTCTTACGACCTCTCGAATTAACCACTAATTAGCAATTAGAAAGAAAAAGATAATTAAACTCTATCAGTGGCGGAACTAGAAAAAAAAGGCTCCCCCTCAAAGAAAAAATTAGGGCCCCCCTAATCTACTTCATTGCAATATAAAACGATTCTGAGAGAACAAACCAGAAAAAAAGTTTAGTCCAAATTAATATTAATAATCCAGCAGCTCATAAATATGCTGGTCAAAAATATATAAAGACATTAGCTTGATTCGTGAATGGTTTCTCGCGTTATGTTTATTTTTTTTCATTTTTGGCTTTTATAATATCCATTTTGAAAAGGTTGATTTTTATAGCTATACTATTGTATAGTACGTCTTATTTAAGTAACAATTCAGAGAGTCAATTGCTTTTTAATATACATAGTACAAAACTATATAAATGAGCTTCGTGGGCATCCCTATTTTAAAGAAGGGCAGTAAGTCATGGAAGTAGTGTGAATGTTTACCTACCTTTCAAACTATAGCTCTTGTAGATTTTAAAATATTTTTCTACGCAACAATCTCTGCTATAGTAGACCTGTTTTTTTCTTCTACAAAACCACTTTCAAGATGCATGAAAAACATAATTTTTGAAAAAAAAATTCATTGTTTTTTGGTCGGAACTGGGCCCCTAAACGTCATGCCCCCCCCCCCCCCCCCCCCGCATTGCGGGGTCTGGCGGTATGGTAGTTCCGCCCCTGAACTCTATTGAAAATAACTCATGACTAAGCTGGTCGTATGAAAACAACTTTAAAAAAAAAGATAATCTTCTTTTGGTTACAATTGTTTCCCCTTTTTGTCATAAATAACAGTGATGTCCCTTGCCATAAAATTAAACCAGGGTCATGTGTAAACCTAGGAACCTTAAGTATTAAGTACACGACTGACCATTAGGTCTAATCATAACCATAAAGAAAAATATCCATCTAAACCAGGGGTCTCCAAACTACGGCCCGCTGAGATGTTTTTGTCCACGGGAAAAACGTTTGTGGGTGATGGCTGAGAAACTTCACCCTGAAAAATCAAAGACATGCCTCGAAGAAACTGGCCCCCGAACTGAAATTTGTTCGTTAATGTGGCCCTCGGACTGAAAAGTTTGGAGACCCCTATCTAAACAATAGCGCCCAGCGTTAAAAGTATATGGCTGATAGATGTCAGGACCACAATCACCACATCATCTCTTCATTTGTCAAGGGCATGGAAATCCGATTCTGACCACACAATCTCATCATAGTTCGAGGACACACAGATGTAGCGCTGACCACTATAGGTCAAAGGTCCAGAGATCTGATTCTGACCACACAGTTCGAGGACACAGAGTAATCTACTGGCAGATGCATTAATGATATTGAATGACCATCTGCCCCACACCACCACCCTCCCCCCCCCCCGGGTCTCCCAGAAACACTGGTCCAATGAAATACGTCACGCTTACTACAACAATGACAAGACAGCCGGTCGGTTTTCAGAGGCGTCAATGGAGTTTTTGGCAGCAACAGATGGTATGATCATATAAACACATCACATAAACATGACATAAACACATCACATATTACATAAACACACATCACTTATTACATAAACATCATATAAACACATCACATAAACGCACCACACAGCACATACACACATCACATACACTACCATTGAAGTTTCTAGGTCACATACACATGTTTAAATAACTGTGTGTGTAATGTAGAGCGTGAATTCCACCCCTCTCTTCCAAATAATAGACTAATTGATAGCCTAGTTCAACTAACAAGTTAACTTTTAAAAATATAGAACTAACTATCTAATAGCTCAAAAAATGCGAATCAGTTACAAGGCATTGATTTATTTTGTACTCAATACAAATCCCATGAATTGCGAGAGAGAAAATGGGAGAGGGGGCCGGTAGAGAGGGGGGGGCGTTCCCCAGACCTCCACTACCTCCCGGGCACTTGAATAATATAAAGATTAATAAATATATATATAAAAACACACACACACACACACACACGCACGCACGCACGCACGCACGCACGCACGCACGCACGCACGCACGCACGCACGCACGCACGCACGCACACACACACACACACACACACATATATATATATATAGTAACCAATCCAGGGATAACATGGGATGTAATATTAGGATAAAGTCATAAACAAAATACTAAAAAAAATGACTCTAGTAATCAGTGTAATGGTAGAATATCTGGCCGCCATGGGGCGTTTCTAGCTCAATGTTTACAATAGGGCCATCGATTTCATTGTTGTGTTCGTTATTAGAATATGGGCTTCTAACCTTTTTATCGTCGTTTTATTAGATAACGGTTGTGGAGTATTGCTGGCCTGTTGAAGGTCTAATTAAATTTGATTAGGATCATAATCTACCGGTATCTGAGAAATATTGAAACACAAAAATAGTTATAATTCTCATTTTCAAGGATATCCTTGAGATTATTTAAACTTGTCTATATTTTTTTTAGAAAAATAAAACAAGATTGGTTTTTTCGCGTGGGTGTTATTTTAGTACTTGTGTCTGTATTGGCATTATGGCTATTTTGATATTTGTTGACGACAGTGGCGTAGCCAGGATCATCTCAAGGGGGGGGGGGTTCCAATTTTTACCCGGGGACAAACTTTCGATTTGCACCCCCCCTCAAACTTTCGATTTGCACCCCCCCCTCAAACTTTCAATTTGCACCCCCCCCCCCTCAAACTTTCGATTTGCACCCCCCCTCAAACTTTCGATTTGCACCCCCCCCCCCCCCCTCAAACTTTCGATTTGCACCCCCCTCAAACTTTCGATTTGCACCCCCCCTCATACTTTTTATATATACCGAGGGGTCTATGGGGGGGGGGGGTTATGACCCCCCCTAACCCCCCCCTGCCTACGCCACTGGTTGACGATGTGTTGTTTTGGTGGCTATTTTAGTTGTTGTGTTGTTACTTAGTGTTGGATGTAAACAAGGAGCAGCCTACGTGTGTACTATACTTCGTGTCAGCATCACTTCTATAAATAGCATATTTACACAAGTTAAAAAAATGTAAACTCGAAACCAAACAAATGCAACAACAGCCTTATGCTAATTCTATTTATAGACAATACTTTAGCCCAATCTTTTTTTGTCCTGTAGTTTTTTAAACGTTAAAAAAACACATTACTAGCTCTTTTAATTCTTTATTTCTTTACAACACAATCACGCAAGGGAAGTAACCACACATGGCATTACCTCCCATTTAGAAGGCTACAATATCTAGGCTAGGTTCGTTTTTACTATCGTTTTGACACACTAAGTTTACCACCCCCCCCCTCGCTCCCCAAAATGTTGACACAGACGGAACCGTGTCCCCATTAAGCCTATTAGGATTATAATATCAGATGGTACTTTGAGTCGTGTAGGCTTATTACTACCACAGGAAGTCACCCTTTACTGAATGTAACCAGTTAAGGTCAAAGGTCACTAATCTCACTATAGAGAACACTGGGCTGCCACTGGATCAAAGATAACAGTGAAATATATTATACTTCAGGCCGTAGCAGCTTGACGGATGGGGATAAATAAATGAACTAAATAAAACAAAATCGGCGTTTACAAGATCAATCAATGCAAGATTCGATCACTTCATCAATCGATCGCCAAGATATTCGTTCACCACAAATATTAATCGTACGAGAACTTTTCACGTCAGCAAAATTCATGGATGTCTCTTCTTTTAAAACAGCTGACTCTATGCTTATAACCCCCCACCCCTACCCCCAACTATAACCCATACCGATGAAGTGACCAGTCTTTAAAACCTTCTGACCCCCCCCTCCTCCCCCAACTTTATCCTACACCGATGAAGTGACCAGTCTTTAAAACCAGCTGATCCCTCCCCCTCCTCCCCCAAGTTTATCCTACACCGATGAAGTGACCAGTCTTTAAAACCATCTGACTCCCCCCCCCCCCGTCCTCCCCCAACTTTATCCTACACCGATGAAGTGACCAGTCTTTAAAAACAGCTGACTCAATGCTTCCCCCCCCCCCACCCTTACCCCACCCTTACCCCCACCCCCAACTATAACCC